GAGCCTGGGCGTGCAGGCGAGTCAGTGGCTGTGTGTGGACACAAGCCCGCAGAGGCTTGTGCATGCCTGGAGGAGAGGGCCTGGTGAGGGGAGCCTGGTCAGCCCCAGGATGATTTGTCATTGCCTAATGAGATTAATGAGCCCCGGGGGCTGGTATGCAGCAGTGCCGGGCACTCATTAGAAGCAGATGCTCATGGGAACGATGGCAAGGAATGGGGGGTGGGGGGGACCTGGGGGTGGAGCGCTGCTCACCCGCCAGGTGGTTTCCATTAATCTGTGGGCGGGGCCAAGAGCAAGGCCGCCTGGCCCCGCCTTCTTCCCCTTCCCATCCCCACTCACACTGGGGAGGAATGCAGAAGAGAAGCTGCCGACTTGGGAGCCGCTGAGGGCTGGGAAGGGAGGCTTACGGGTTCGGGGACAGCCCTCTTGCTTGCTGTTGTAGCACCGATGCCTGGCATAGTGTACATGTTCAGTAAATACCTTGTCTCTTGGATGACCTAAGAGACAAGAAGAGCCCCAGACCATCTAGGTTTCCTCCAGCCGGATCCTCTCCCTGCCCTCCCCTAGACAGCCCCCATACCTGCGGGGCGGAGCGCGGGGGGGAGGCCAGCCCCCACTTTCCAATGAACCCTGGAAGTCCTGGAGGGCCCGGGGAAAGCTGCTCTGCGGCCTCCGAACCTATAATTTGGTTTCTAAACCCACAGGCAGGGAGGTCTGTGGGGGCCAGAGGGAGCCAACTTGGGGCCGCCCCAACCCTGTCCAAACGCGGTACGCGCTCCCGCGCACACGTGCACGCTCTGTCGCGCACACCGGCTCTTTAACAGCTTTAGGGAGGTGTAATTAACATGCCGTGAAGTCCACCCACTGCAAGTGTGCATCCGATGCTTTGTAGCATATTTACACAGTCGTGCAGTCACCACGACCTCACTTTAGAGCATTTTCATCGTCTCCAAAAAGCAACCTTGAATCATGAGCAGCCACTCCCCATTCCTCCTGCTATTTCCTAGCCCGAAGCAACCGCTCGTCTGCTTTCTGCCTCTATAGATGTGCCTATTCTGGACATTCCCTATCAATGGAATCATGTCATGTGTAATCTCTTATAGCTGGCTTCTTCCACTTAGCCTAATGTGTTCAAGGTTTATCCATATTATAGCATATATCAGCAGTTCATTCCTTTTTATGGCCTAATATTCTGTTGTGTGAATGTAGCACAAATGCATTATCAGTTGATGGACACTTGGGATGTTCCCACTTTGGGCCGTCTTATGAATAATGCTGCTGCGACCATTTGCGTTCAGGTTTCTGTGAACTTCTCTTGGATATGCACCTGGGTTCTGTAGTTTCTCTGCCAAACTGGTTTTCACAGCGGCTTGCACCATTTTACACTGCCACCAATAATGCATAAGGGTTCTAGTCTTTCCACACCCTCGTCAACACTTGCTGTTGCCTGTTTTTTGTATTGTAGTCATCTCAGTGCATGTGAGGTGAGAGCTCGTAGTGGTTTTTCTTTGCATTTCCCTAATGACTAATGGTGCTGACCATCTTTCCATGCATTATTTGGTCATTTCTGCCTCCTCCTCCTTGGAGAAATGTCTATGCAAATCCTTTGCCCATTTTTTTTTTCCAGCAGGTTTGTTGTTTCATTATTGAGTTGGAAAAGTCCTTTATATATTTTAGATAAAGGTTCTTATCAGATATATTTTCTCTCATTTATATATTTATATATTCTAGATAGAAGGTCCTTATCAGATACAGATTTTCTCTCATTCCCTGGGTTGTCCTTCACTTTCTTGATGATGTCCTTTAGAGAGGAAGAGTTTTAAGTTTTTATGAAGTCCACTTTACCAATCTGCCCCTTTATTGCTGATGCTCACACACTCATTCTTACACACTCAGCTTCCTGAGCTCCAGCTTTCCCAAGGGTAGAGGGTATGTTTTGCTCTCAGGAATCCCACCCCCGCCCCCCATGCCTGACTTCTGCCATCGGGTCCTTCTCCTCCAAATTGGCCCAGGTACAGGGAGAAGGGTTTGCCTAGAGTCAAGGTAGCCTGCTCTGGGTTGGGCGAGGGGTGGTGGGGAGGGGAGGCTCCATTCATACACTGCAACTTTCCCAACCTACAAGACCTGGGCTCTGTGGAAGCAAGGAGAAAGTGAGAGATTCCACATCACAGAAACATCTGTTCATCCTCGTGACCTCAGCTAAGAAATGAAGGGATCGGATTTAGACAATCCCGAACAGGGGGTTGTAACCTGGGTGCCACAAGCCCTCAGAAATCATACAGTGTTGGGTGTAGTGCATTTTTCTGAAGCAGGAGTCCGTAGCCATCATCAGATTTTCAAAATGATGTGCTAAAGCGAGAAGCACCAACCTATAGGGACCTTGCTGGTCCAAAAAAAAAAAAAAAAAAAAAATCCAAGTTCTATGATAGTATTTCCTCCTGCTGCTAGAGAGGGTACAGCCCCAGAGCCACACTTCCCCTGCCTTAGGGTCCATGACCCCATCAGCCCCATCAGTGAGCAGCCTCCGGCCTATGCTCCTCAGGAGAAGACTCAGGCCTGGCCTGCCTGGGCTCTGGAATGGAAGGGCTGCCTTGGTCACCCCTAAAGCCACTCTGTGGGTGTGAGGCAAGGGAAAAGGAGTGCCAGCGCCCAGGGGGAAGCTCCCCTCCCAGCGCCGCCCCCCCCCCACCCATGGTTCCGGGCTGCAGGAAACCCAGGGCAGGAAGGGGCTGGGGCCCCAGTGGCCGCCTTGCTCCCATCTGCAGAGCATCAGTGGGGCAGGCGGGGTGGGGGTTCTCAAGGGGGGCCGGGGAGGAAATGAGAATAAACACAGTGAGCAGAGAGGGAAGGGGCGGGGGGCTGCGGCCTCAGCCCCTTGGCAGCCCATGAAGGGAAGTGACACAATGAGGAATGTGTTTCCCTCTGCCCGTCCCCCGCGTGGGGGTGGGAGGCAGAGCCCTGAGAATGGCCAGACCCCAACAGGGGCCAGGGGGCACATGCTGGAACAGCACTGGAGGGGGTGCTGTGAGAGTAAGGAGCCAAAAGGGGGGTGCCGGGCAGGAAGGGCAACCCAGGCCAGGCGGGGCACCTTTCCTGTCCCTCTCCAGTGTCCATGCTGTGCGAGCATCTAGGGTCTGCATACTTGCACAGTCCCCGCTGGGGCACTACCAGCATGCCTGGGTATGGAAGCCATCCCTTCTTGAGGAAGCTGGCCCCTTCTGCTGACTTTCCCTTCTTTCTCAAGGGACACGGGGTTATGGAGGCCACGTCCTCGGTATGAGAGGGAGCTCCGGTATGAGGACCCTTGGCCATGGGCGGGACTAAGCAGCGTGTTTTATTTCTCCTCTTTCTCTCTCTCTCTCTCTGGGTGTTTTTGTCCCCAGCTGGGACTGTCTGTGCGAAAACAGGCCCCCTGGTGGGATGGCACCCCCCCCCTCCATCCTGGACACCCATTTCCTCTCCCAGAGCTGGGAGCGGCTAGTTAACCCCCTCGTGCCCATAATCCACAGATGTCCCTGAGACTTTGGCAGGCAGGGCCAAGTGCACCCTGTGTCATTCTGGGCTGGAGGGTGGTGGGCCTTGGAAAGCAGGCTGGCCCCAGATATCTCTGTCAATCTCCACCTTCTTGCACAGGCCCTTTTGACAGGTTGATTACTCCAGGAATCCCCCACCCTTGCCCTCTGCCTCATAATCTACCTAGATGCCTGGGGTGGGGTGGGAATGCACAGAGAGCACCATGGAATGAAGGGAGCAAACAAGGAGGCAGCAGCCCCCAGCCCACGGTCCCAGGAGGGGAGGCAGTCTGGCTGAGCAGGGAAGTTTCCTGGCGCATTACTCCGTGAGGCTGCGCGCGTGCTGGAGTAGTCCTTGAGTAGTTGGGTGAGTGGCCAGCTGGTGGTCTAGACACCAGTGGCTGTGCCCAGGAAGCAGAGGATGGGATGCAGCCAGTGGGCCAGTGCTCACTTTGGTCCTCAGTGGTCCCAGATAGCTGCCAGTCTGCCAGGTTTTGAGCTGGGACCAGGTAGGCACTGGTGGGTCCCCAGTGGGCAGGAACTGCCCCTTCAGCTCTACCCTGCCACCACTGGGGGAGGTGATAAAAGGGAGGGAGGGTTGGAGTGTGGCTGTGTGGTTGAGCTTGAGCAACCAGACTCTGGGACAGACAATTTGCTCCTCCCGGTGGGTGGCCTTTGGCCCCCGTGAACCCCTGGAGGGCAGGTGCACCACCTTCTTCTGTCTGGACCTGCTCGGGCTCAGCCCAGAGATGGTGTTTCCCTTGCCACTTTCCCTCAGTACTGTGGGCTCCTAGGAGACCATGGGGAGAAGGCAGGTGGACAAACCTTTACCCCCTCAGCCTTGCCTTCCTCACCTGAAGAATGAGGGATCACTGGGCGGGGCGGGGGGTGGGGGAGGAGGAGGACGGTAATGGTTGTGCCCTGGAATCAGAGACCCAGGTCAGCACCCAGGCGGTCATCAGCTGCTTGACCCATTTCCACACCTGTCAAATGGAGAGATCAACATGGACAGGATGGCTATGAAAATACCTCCCCCAGTGCCACACTCCAGGAGATCTTACCTTTGGATAGCAATTTACAAAAGACTTTCACATCCATTTTCAAGTGGTGCACACAGCAGCCCCTGTGCGATCCTGGGTAGCTCGGATTGGAGCGACCTGGAGCAAGGGCTCCCGGCTCCCAGTTCAGTGCCGGCTCCCCTCCTTGCTTCCACCACGTGCTGCTTCTGTGTCCCAGGTGGCCCCACCCCGTCTCTTGGCTTCCATACGCTTCCTGACACCCTTCTGACCAGCACCCCTTGACAGTAGCTGGGGTGGGCCGCGGAGATGCGTCTAAGGGGTGGGATCCTTCATCCAGCCTCCCAACCAGCACTGAGGAGATTTAGAAGGAAATCTAGTTCTTGTCTGGTAAAAGTGAAGCTTCTCCACCCCAGGAGAGCATGTGGCCCAGACAGGCAGAGGTGTGAGTACTCCCACTTGCCTCCCACAGGGACCTGAGGAACAATGTCATCAGCACGGTGCATCCCGGGGCCTTCCTGGGCCTGGGAGAGCTGAAGCGCTTGTAAGTGGCATGTCCTGCTCCCCTAGCCCTGGGGACGGTCCCCTGGGTCCCTTCTCGTTTCTCCACTCACAGCGCCCCTGTCCCCAACACGCTGTATTGCTGGGGCGGGGGGCGCTGATGGAGGAGACACCTCAAGCCCATCTCCTTGTTCATCCTACTCCCCACACGAGCCCCGGCCACACACTTGTGTCCCCCACGAGTGGATCCACGTGCTGCTACGTGGCCAGCTTGCTGAGGCTGTGTGTGTGTCTCTCTAGAGATCTATCCAACAACCGGATTGGCTGTCTCACCTCTGAGACCTTCCAGGGCCTCCCCAGGCTTCTCCGACTGTAAGTGAGGGGCAGTTAGTGGGGAGGACGGGCCTGGGAGGAGGGAGGGCAGCACCAGACCCTCAGAGTCCCCTGTGTTCCCTTCACCCACTCCTCCCTTCTCTGGCTCAGGGAGACCCTGAGATCCGGGCTCACTGTTCCCTGCCCCCCTGCAGAAACATATCTGGAAACATCTTCTCCAGTCTGCAACCTGGGGTCTTTGATGAGCTGCCAGCCCTTAAGGTTGTGTGAGTATCTATTTCCAGCCCAAGGACTCAGACCTCTGCTTCCTTTCTCTGCCCAGGAAGGACACATGCAAGTATCATGACCACCGTGGCCAGCCTTATGCATAGGCAGGACAGGCAATGGCTGAAAGCATCATACCTGCCTTCCCACCATCGCCAGGCTGGTGGTGGCAAACGCATACCCAAATGTGCCCTTCCCAGCCTCAGTCTCCCTCCCAGGCCTCCAACCCCACCCCCTGAGCCCACGCCCCCTCCGCTCTACTCTGTGGCCCCTCTACCCATTCTGCAGGGATCTCGGCACTGAGTACCTGACCTGCGACTGCCGCCTGCGCTGGCTGCTATCCTGGGCCCGGAATCGCTCCCTGCAGCTGTCGGAGCACACGCTCTGTGCCTACCCCGGTGCCCTCCACGCCCAGGCCCTGGGCGGCCTCCAGGAGGCCCAGCTGCGCTGCGGTAAGCACGCCCTCACCCTGCACCCTTGGCGCAGATGTGCTCCTGAAGGGCCCCAATGGCTCGAGGCTCCCCCTGCCTCTCATTCTCCAGGGCATCCTCTCCCTCAGATCCCCCTGGGCGTCCTTCTCCATCAGCTGTTCCTAAACTTTCTTTGGGGCTGCTGCTTTGTGTTTGCATCCGGTCCCACCTCCTGGGATGACAAATGTGCTGCCACAGGAGCCCTTTTCTTTGCTTGCCCCAAACCCGCCCGCCCCCTCCTTGTGCTCTTATCTCCAGAGGCTTTCTCCTGCCCCTTTTTCCCCAGCCAGAGTGGGCTCCAGTGCAGCTCCACTCCTGGCTCTACACACCACGCCCCTGCCCCCGGCATCTCGCACGCTGCTGCACGCGGGCCTCACTGCCCTGGTGTCCCCCCCACAGAAGGGGCCCTGGAGCTGCACACGCACCACCTCATCCCGTCCCTGCGCCAAGTGGTCTTCCAGGGTGACCGACTGCCCTTCCAGTGCTCTGCCAGCTACCTGGGCGAAGACACCCGCATCCGCTGGTACCACAACCGGGCCCCCCTGGAGGGTGACGAGCAGGCGGGCATCCTCCTGGCCGAGAGCCTCATCCATGACTGCACCTTCATCACCAGGTACAGGCCCTGCTGCCACAGTACCCATCCCCCGCCCGCCCAACGCCCTGTGCCCAGATGTCCTTGGGAGTACATTCATGGGCGTTAAGAGTGTGCTTGTGTGTGTGCCTGGAAATCCAGGACTCACGGTCTGGATAGGGGAATACAGATTAAATGCCTGATAGAAAAAAAAAAAAAGGATCACATCTGACTTTTCTTTAGTGCCTTTACAATGTAAAAGCTCTATTATCAGACTTAATCTCTCCAATAGACTTGTGAGAGAGGTATTATTATCTCCCTGATACACACAGGGAAATTGAAGCCCAGGAAAACAATATCTTAAGGCCGATGGGAGTATGTACTTGTATCCCTCACTCAGTTAAAGGAAAAAGAACCCCGAAGCTCAAGCCCTGCACACTTAGGCCAGGGTGACTCGGGTGGACGAGGCCGGGGCACTCAGAGAGAGTGGCGCGGCCACCTGGAGCACCTCACCAAGCCGGCCCTCCCCCTGCCCGCCTGCAGTGAGCTGACCGTGTCTCACATCGGCGTGTGGGCGTCAGGGGAGTGGGAGTGCTCGGTGTCCACGGCCCAGGGCAACGCCAGCAAGAAGGTGGAGATTGTGGTGCTGGAGACCTCGGCCTCCTACTGCCCGGCTGAGCGAGTGGCCAACAACCGCGGGGACTTCAGGTGCGGTCGCCTCTGCTGCCCCAGAGGACCCCCCCTCCCAGCCCCCACCCCCGCTCCTGCGTCTGACAACACCGGTGAGCAGGGTCTCCCCATCTGCTCTGAGATGCAGACAGCACTTTTGTCGTCCAGCTCCAAGTGCCACTGTCCCGCTGCTGTATTGACAGAGCCCTTGTCTTTTGGTATGAACTCCCCATCTGAGATGTGCTGTGCAGAACAGGAAGTTTGGGTGGATTTTTTTGTTTCTTTGGTTTGCTTCCTTACATTAACAGTACACAGAACTCTCGCACAACAAACATGCCGTAATATCCCAATGGCCCCCTCAGTTAGCGAGGACGGGTCTGTTCTCGCTGTTGTACAGCTGAGAATACTCAGGGGCGCCAAGGCTAAGTGACTTGAACTCAGGGCTCCGACTCTGAACACACACAGAGAGAGAAGGTGGGGCTCGGGAGCCCCTGGAAGGCCAGTCCAAACTCTCGCTTCTGAAGCCCTCCCCCAGGTCCCAAGGGGCCCGAGAATCTAGGTTCTCGAGGGCAGGGGAGGGACCCTTGCTCTGAGGGAAGGAAGAGCCTGGGGCAACAGCAGCCTCCTGCTTCTACCCCCAGGTGGCCTCGAACCCTGGCCGGCATCACAGCCTACCAGTCCTGCCTACAGTACCCCTTCACCTCAGTGCCCCTGAGCGGGGGTGCCCCGGGCACCCGAGCCTCCCGCCGGTGTGACCGAGCTGGCCGCTGGGAGCCCGGGGACTACTCCCACTGTCTGTACACCAACGACATCACCCGCGTGCTCTACACCTTTGTGCTGGTGAGGCCAGGAGAGGAGAGGGGCAGGGGGCATCCCGTCTGCTCTGGGTCGGGAAACGGGAAGGAGAGAAGCCCGCTGGCCCCACGGGGCCCAGAGGCCCCCTCACGGCCACTCCGCCGCCCCTCCTGTCCGTGGGCGTGCGCGGTGAGGGGCTCTTGTTCTCTCGATTTTCTTCTTCCAGGCAATTCAGACCACCCCCTCCCAGGGCCACCCCGAGCATCTTTAGTCCCAAACACAGCAAGGACAGCCTTAAGGGGGAAAACAAGGACAGCGTGAGGTCGTCCCATTGTCCTTATGCCAGTGGTGTTCGGAGTGGACAGCCTCGAGTCCTGAGTTCATTCCTTCCTTGTGCCTCCTGTCTCGATTAGACCCAGCTGGTGGGCTAGACCCCTCTCCCCAGGCACCGGCACCCTGAGCATCAGCACAGACAAGGGGGCCCCCTAGGGGCAGTTCTCGGGGAGAAGGAGCAGAACTGGACGGTCTCCTTTCTCCCCTCAATTCTCCCAGATGCCCATCAACGCCTCCAACGCGCTGACCCTGGCCCACCAGCTGCGGGTGTACACAGCTGAGGCGGCCAGCTTCTCGGACATGATGGATGTTGTCTATGTGGCTCAGATGATCCAAAAATTTTTGGGTTATGTCGACCAGATCAAAGAGGTGAGATTCAACCCGGCCTCTGGGGCCCCTGGAAACCACCCTGTCCCTTGCTCAAGCCTCTTGTGTCCCCGCCCCTGGGCCCCAAACCCAACTCCTGCCCTCAGTGACTCCCTGCCCCCCGCCAGCTGGTGGAGGTGATGGTGGACATGGCCAGCAACCTGATGCTGGTAGACGAGCACCTGCTGTGGCTGGCCCAGCGTGAAGACAAGGCCTGCAGCGGCATTGTGGGTGCCCTGGAGCGCATCGGGGGGGCTGCCCTCAGCCCCCATGCCCAGCACATCTCTGTGGTAATATGGGTCAGCTGGGAGGAAGCTCCTTGGGGAGCCTCACACTGGGAGGGACCTTAGAATCAACGGGGGCCAACCCTCGCCAGCCAGGACAGACACACTCCTCTCTTCGGGCAGCAAGTCCTCCAAGTATGCACCTGCCGTGCGCCCAGCTAGCCAGAGCACGGAGCATGACTCAGTGGAGTGGAATTCTGTTCCGAGTTGTCAGGAGCAGTGCAAAGGAGAGGGGGCCAGTGAGAGGGAGAAGTTGTGCAAGACTTCACAGTGGGGAACGGAACCGTAGCACCAGCCCAAGGAACTAGAGGGGCTTGGGATCAGGGTGACAGCACTGTGATGGAATGAGGAGTGATGGAGACATCTGTCCCCTGAAAAGAGGGTGAGATCACCAGGGGTGGCTTGTGAACCCATTAGCAACCACAGGGGAGCAAGATGCTCTGCTAGGCACTTCCGGAGGTACAAGGAGGCTGGACGTGGACCCTGCTCCACGGTTTAGTTGGGGTGGCAGAACTAGTATCTGTTGAGAAGTGAGCAAGATACAAGGTAGGGTGTGAGTGGGAGGAAAGGTCTTAGGAGGAAGAAGGTGCCATCGCCAGGGGTAGGGGAGACTCGGCAGCAGACCTAAGACTGCCAGGCCTTGGGAAGATGGGAAGGAAGAATGCATAGGGGGACACAGCCTGAGCAAACCCGCAGAGAGGGACCGTGTGGTCTCAGCAGGAAGCCAAGAGAGAGCCGCCAGATCTCAAATGCGGGGGGGAGTGACAAGTTCCCTGTCCCTAGAACTCAAGAAACGTGGCATTGGAGGCCTACCTCATCAAGCCACACAGCTACGTGGGGCTGACCTGCACAGCCTTCCAGAGAAGGGAGGCGGGAGTGCTGGGCATACGGCCCGGAAGCCCCGGCCAGAACCCCTCCCCGGAGCCAGAGCCCCTGGCCGATCAGCAGCTCCGCTTCCGCTGTACCACGGGGAGGCCCAGCATTTCTCTGTCGTCCTTCCACATCAAGGTGGGCACTGGGGGAGGCGTGTGGGGGCGGATGCTAAGAGGGGATGTGCCCAGATGCAGGTGCCTCGTGGAAGCGGGTCCTGTGAGTGGAAGCTGCTCCAGAAAAGGCATAGAGGGGAGGGGGGAGGGGGGAGCCGTTAGGCCTTGGAGTCCTAGGGGGTCCTAGATGTCTCTGAGGAACTCCGATGTCCCCCCAGAACAGCGTGGCCCTGGCCTCCATCCAGCTGCCGCCCAGTCTGTTCTCGTCCCTTCCGGCTGCCCTGGCTCCCCCTGTCCCCCCAGACTGCACCCTGCAACTGCTTGTCTTCCGAAACGGCCGCCTCTTCCGCAGCCACGGCAACACCTCACGTCCCGGAGCCCCCGGGCCTGGCAAGAGGCGTGGCGTGGCCACCCCTGTCATCTTTGCAGGAACCAGTAAGGCGCTGAACTCCCCACACCCCTTCCTGCCCTTCCCTCACCCACAGCACCCCCTAAGAGCCTGGGGGAGTGGCAGAGGAGAGTGACCACACCCCATTTCCCAGGATGATAGGGGACAGAGACATCCTGTAAAGGACTGCTGGAGAAAAGCCTCAGGAAGACATTGGGATTTATATCCCAGATTTGTCAAATTGCAAGAGTTAAAAACACAGACCCTTGACCCACCTTGGCCTCCCTCCCTCCCTCCGACCTCCTAACCTGGTGCCAACTTTCCCTCTCCGGGTGCCCCCACTCCCTCCATCCCCGAATCCTCACTTCACCTTTTGTTCCCTGAGTACAAGTACCTTCCACTTTCCTGTCCCTGACCCCAGCCCCAGAGTCCCCTGTTTTCAGGTAGGTCACCACCATTCATTCGGCACTTGGAACAGGCCACCTCCCAGTGCTTTATTTTTCTTTAAAAAAAATTTTTTTTTAAGTTTATTTATTTATTCTGAGAGAGACAGAGACAGCGTGAGCAGGGGAGGGGCAGAGAGAGAGAGAGAGAGAGAGAGAACTCCACACAGGCTCTGCATTGCCAGCGCAGAGCCTGATACGGGGCTCGAACCCAGGAAACCACAAGATCACGACCTGAGCCGAAACTGAGTCGGATGCTTAACTGACTGAGCCACCCAGGCGCCCCCTGGTGCTTTATTTTGATCCATCCCTGTGTCACCCTGGTGAGACTGACCACCTGGAAGGCAGGGCCCGAACTGGCACCTAACCATGTCCCGAAGTCCGGCCGGCGCCCAGCCCGCAGGCGTTCAGTGCACGCTCGGGCTGTTGTTCACTCGCCGCCACCTAGTTCCATACAGCCAGCCTCCCCGCAGCCCGGTTCCACCCGTGTGGACCTCCCTGTCTCCCGCAGGTGGCTGTGGTGTGGGGAACCTGACCGAGCCAGTGGCCGTCTCGCTACGGCATTGGGCTGAAGGGGCCGAACCCATGGCAGCTCGATGGAGCCAGGATGGGCCGGGCGGCCCTGGGGCTTGGAGCCCCGAGGGCTGCCAGCTCCGCTCCAGCCAGCCCAACGTCAGCTCCCTGCACTGCCAGCACTTGGGCAATGTGGCCGTGCTCATGGTGAGTGCGACAGGGGCCCAGAGGCTGGGAGAACTCCGTGGAATGTGTGGGAGGTGAGAATGGGGGTGTTCGGATCACCTGGAGCCACAGAGAACTACAGAGAGGACAGCAGCCTTATCGGGCCTCGTAACTGTAGGACTCATGGGGAAATGCCCCTCTGGCCTTCCCCACACCTTTTCTTTTTTTTTTTTTTTTAATTTTTTTTTCAACATTTATTTATTTTTTGGGACAGAGAGAGACAGAGCATGAACGGGGGAGGGGCAGAGAGAGAGGGAGACACAGAATCCGAAACAGGCTCCAGGCTCTGAGCCATCAGCCCAGAGCCCGACGCGGGCTCGAACTCCCGGACCGAGAGATCGTGACCTGGCTGAAGTCGGACGCTTAACCGACTGCGCCACCCAGGTGCCCCTCCACACCTTTTCATCTTTCAGGAGACAGGGAGGTTCTGCCTCCGCTCATCGAAAGAGATGGACCTGGAACTCCCCAGCCCGGTCTTCACATCCTGCACTGAGACCCAGATTGTTAAAGTGGAAAAAAAAAAAAAAAATCTGGGAACATTTCTCCTTTCTGGTCACCCCACTCCCTCACCACATTTTGCACCCCGCTCTCCCAGATCAGCTGGATGATAGAAACTTCCACCTCTTTCCTCATCCCCGATTTTCAGGCTGAGGCTCAAAAAAGCTCCCTGAAGGGCAAAAGACTAGGAGGGAGGAATAGGCAGGCAGTAGATGATTAACACTGCCTAAGACTGACTTCCTAAGAGCGAACTCACATCACTTACATCTTCACCTACCTGGACGGACTAGGGGCCAAAGCTGACAGGGCTTGGGGAAAGGAAAAGTGGCCTGGGGGGCTGGCCAGGACTCCGTGGGGTGGCCTCTACCCCTGGCTTCCTAATACATCCTCTTTCCTACTCTTTCTAGGAGCTGAGTGCCTTCCCCAGGGAGGTAGGGGGCTCAGGGGCAGGGCTGCACCCTGTCGTGTATCCCTGCACCGCCCTGCTGCTGCTCTGCCTCTTCTCCACCATCATCACCTACATCCTCAACCACAGGTAGGAGCGCCCGCAGGAGGGGTGGGCGAGGAGGGAGGGCTGTGGGTCTCACCAAGTACTGGCCAAGTGTTCCTTTCCCCAGTGGGGCCACATGACTTTCTTGGGCCCTTGCCTAGCATTTTATTTGCAGGGTCTAGGGCTGGAAAACACACCTTGGGGGTTAAGCCCTTCTTGCCCTGGGGCCTCTATCACACTCGCACACATGTATGCACATAGATATCTGCCTTTCCCTCTTGCTCTCTGAATTACCTTGAGACCCCATGGACCTGATCTTGGGCGGAGTGGCCCATTAATTACTGTTTCTGGGGCAGCTCCATCCACGTGTCCCGGAAGGGCTGGCACATGCTGCTGAACTTGTGCTTCCACATGGCCATGACCTCCGCCGTCTTTGCAGGAGGCATCACACTCACCAACTACCCGACGGTCTGCCAGGCAGTAAGCAGGAGAAGGGGCTGGAGCGGGGCGGGGGGCGCTCCTAGATGAGTGATGGCAGCCTAGGCACAGAGTCTGTGGGTGCAGGGGGAAAAGGGGACTCATGCTACCAGGCCCCAGCTCCACTGTTGTGTCCAGCCTTGCTGGGGTCGGGGGCATGAGAGGAGGGGAGGTAAGAAGTAGAGAAACTATGAGATGGGTCTTCAAAGTGGAGAATGGGGTCTGCAAGGAGAGGTCAGGGACAAGCCAGAAAGCAAGAGCAGGGGTGTCAAGTCTCCGGAGTGGGAGAGAACCCCGGGCTGGAAGTCGAGAGGGTGACCACAGGGTCAGAACCTTGAGGAGGATCTGGGTAGAGCTGGGGATGGGAACCTGGGAGGAGCGGGAGAACGCTGCGCACTGAGGCTCTGGGGGGGCTCCAGTCGTAGCGGCCCCGTCCCCCAGCCTCAGTGGCCTCACCCTGCAGGTGGGTGTCACTCTGCACTACTCTTCACTGTCCACACTGCTCTGGATGGGTGTGAAGGCCCGCGTCCTCCACAAGGAGCTCACCTGGAGAGCGCCCCCTCCACAGGAAGGGGACTCTGCCCCGCCCGCTCCCCGTCCCATGCTCCGGTACATGCCTCGACTGTCAGCTTTGCAAGGGTGAAGGGTTCAGAGGCGGGTATAGAACACCAAGCTCTGTCCTCCCAGGGTGGATGCAGGGTGGGTCCAAGATCCTGGGAGATCAGGCTCCAAAGAGAAAAGGCCCTAGGTGGCACCAGGTTGCCCAAGGCCATGGGGTGGGTGCACCCTTAGGGCTTTTCCCGCATGACAAAGCCAGGGAAGGAAGAGACTCCAAAGGGCATTGGACAGGGATCCTGGCCACGTGAGCAGCACCCTGATTTCTGCAGTGTTTAGGGTGACAGAGCAATTCTAGCCTCTGTCCCTTACAACAGTCTTGGCCAAGTCCCCTAGGAATCTACTGAGCCTGCCCCGTAGGGGCCTTGCGTCCCAGGCAAAAAATTCTGACAGAATTTAAAGGGGAAAGAGGATGGGAGAGAGACCCTGAGTCAAGGTTTCCGGGCACCTGGTTCCAATTCCCTTCGTTCCCCATCTCTCTGATCCCCAAACCCCATTCCTCCCCAGGTTCTATCTGATCGCTGGAGGGATCCCACTCATTATCTGTGGCATCACAGCTGCTGTCAACATCCACAACTACCGGGACCACAGCCCCTAGTGAGCGCCGCTGCCTTCCCGCCCCAAACCCACCCACCCTGACACTGGACGCCTTCTACTTCCCTGGCAGGGACACCTGCCAGGCCCGCTCAGCCGGCGACCCACCCCAAACCCATGCATGTTGACTCAGCCAACCTCTGCTTTTCCGCTCACCATGTCCTATCACCCCAGCCACCCAGCCACCTCAGACGTGCTCCCCCTCCTCATCCACTGCCTGTGTCTCCCCTCAGCTGCTGGCTGGTGTGGCGTCCAAGCCTAGGAGCCTTCTACATCCCGGTGGCTTTGATTCTGCTGATCACCTGGATCTATTTCCTGTGTGCAGGGCTGCGCTTAAGGGGTCCTCTGGCACAGAGCCCAAAGGGGGGCACCAGCAGGGTCTCCCTGGAGCCAGGGGAGGAGCTCAGGGCTTCCACCAGGCCCAGGAGCAGCGGCCCCTTCCTGAATGACTCAGGTTCCCTTCTGGCTACTGGGAGCGCGGGGTTGGTGACACCCGGGCCCCCGGAGGATGGTGACGGCCTCTATTCTCCGGGAGTCCAACTGGGGGCGCTGGTGACCACGCATTTCCTGTACCTGGCCATGTGGGCCTGTGGGGCTCTGGCCGTGTCCCAGCGCTGGCTGCCCCGGGTGGTGTGCAGCTGCCTGTACGGGGTGGCAGCCTCCGCCCTGGGACTCTTCGTCTTCACCCACCACTGTGCCAGGCGCAGGGACGTCAGGGCCTCCTGGCGTGCCTGCTGCCCCCACGCCTCCGCCCCCCGCCCCTCACCCCGGGCCGTGCCCGCCGCCTCAGAGGACGGTTCCCCTGTGTTCGGAGAGGGGCCTCCCTCCCTCAAGTCCTCCCCGAGCGGCAGCAGCGGCCACGCGCCACCCCTGGGCCCCTGCAAGCTCACCAACCTGCAGCTGGCCCAGAGTCAGGTGTGCGAGGCCGGGGTGGTGGCCCGCGGGGAAGGGGAGCCAGAGCCCACGGGCTCCCGGGGGAGCCTCGCGCCCCGCCACGCCAACAACTTGCACCATGGGCGCCGAGTGCACAAGAGTCGGGTCAAGGGGCACCGCGCGGGGGAGGCCGGCTCCAAGAACCGGCTCAAGGCGCTGCGCGGGGGCGCGGCGGCCGGGGCGCCGGAGCTGCTGTCCAGCGAGAGCGGCAGCCTGCACAACAGCCCGTCCGACAGCTACCCGGGCAGCAGCCGCAACAGCCCGGGCCTCCAGCTCGAGGGCGAGCCCATGCTCACGCCGTCGGAGGGCAGCGACACGAGTGCGGCGCCACCCCCCGAGGCGGGCCGGCCAGGCCAGCGCCGCAGCGCCAGTCGCGACAACCTCAAGGGCGGCGGGGGCGGCGCGCTGGAGAGGGAGAGCAAGCGCCGCTCGTACCCGCTCAACGCGGCCAGTCTGAACGGCGCGCCCAAGGGGGCCAAGTACGACGACATCACCATGACGGGCACGGAGGCGGCCGGAGGCGCCTGCATGAAGACGGGGCTCTGGAAGAGCGAAACCACCGTCTAGGGCGGGGGTGGGCGACGCTGTAGGACAGGCTGGCCATGTGGCCCTGTCACCCAGGCTGCTGGGGGGGAGGGGGGCGGGGCCTCAAAGACGTCAACCGGTACATCAACGGGTTTGAGGTAGAGGCGCCCATGGCTGCGGCTCGGCACACCAGCTTTAGTCCTGGAGGCTGGGGAAAACACAGGGGTAGGCCTGCCACCGCCCAGAGCGCAGTCCCTCTGGGGTAGCGACCATCCCAGGACCACAGGCATGATACATTTCCGTCCCAGCCCAGGCTGGTTTTGGCAGTCAAATCGGTGCCGTCCAGGATAGCAGGGGAGGTCCTACCAGCCCGTGGAGTGGGAGACTGCCCCCCCAGAGCCCCCAGGTGGGCTCCTCCTTAGGTACTCCCCACAGCTTATCCACCGTGCCTCACTGATGGTCATCGGCCTGATCAGGAAGACACAGATGACAGGAGCTTGAGAACAGCGTTCTCTCCTCACTGCCCTCGTCAGAAGTCAGCCCGCTGTGCCTAGATCCTAGGGCCTCTCCCCAACCTTGCTCTTGGCCAACCAGGGGGCCAGCCTAGCAGTTGAGCCAGATGACCAGGACCTATAGGTGCTGCTTTTCAGATAAACTATGCAAGAGAAGGTAGAACCGTGTGAAAGCAGCTCTGGAGATGGAGTTCTAGGGAAGGGGGTGGGAGCAGGTGGGAAGGTTGCACCATCAGGGACGGTGGGACACTTCCCACAGGAGTGGTCCACACACCACATGGCAGGGCTGTAGACGGGGCGTCCCAGGACAAAGCCAAGGCCCTACACCTGAGAAGCTGACTCTGCCAGATGCCTGGGAAGGATCTGAGGGAAGTAGAGAGTCGTAGTGCTTAGATTTGGAGCTGAAGGCAGTCACGCCCTAAACCTGGCCCTATAAACAGTGCTCCGAAGAGAGGCTCTACCACAAGGCTGCAGGTAGTGTTGGGGAAGCACTTATTGTTCAGTTGCAAGCCCCACACCCCTAGTCTCAGCTTTCTAACACCATGGGGCTGAGGAAGAGACTTCCCTGCCTCCATGAGGCCGTATGGAAGGACCAGTCCAAGAACTGACCTCTAAGTCAGGTTAGGGAGAAACCTCCCAAACATCAAACTGGCTTCCTGCCTCACAGACTCCCAAGCTGAATCCCTCAAGGTATCAGGTAGGGTCCCTGCAGCTCACTCGGGCCCTGTGCCTTCACTACTTTTAAACACCAGCACCCATATTTTCCCCCAACCTAAAAAGTCACCACCAGCCTTTTACTAAAGGACCCAATGAAGGTGGAGGGAAACCTGGGCCTGGTGAAGAACAGGAAAACAAGACCTGGTCTAGGTCCCCTCCCAGCGTCCATGTCACTGCAGCCTGATCACGAAGGCAAAAGACATAAGGGAGGGGAGAAAACCCACACACCTTGGGATGAATCCTGTTATTTATGCTTGCTGCACAGACAATATTAGACAAAAAGAAAAAAAAAAAGCTTCGTATTATTCTTCCACATATGCTGGCTGCTGTTTACATACCCTGCCAATGCCTTAGCACTGGAGAGCTTTTGCAATACGCTGGGGAAAAAAGGGAGGGAGGGGATGAAAAGTGCCAAAGAAAACATGTTTTTAAAAGCTTGAGTTTTATACAATAGAATGTTTTCTAGCAGATGCCTCTTGTTTTAATATATTAAAATTTTGCAAAGCCCTTGAGCTATAACCTTAGTCCACCCACGGTCCTTTTGTTATGAAGTGGAGGATTTCATGACCTCATACACAAGAACCCATCGATGCCTATAGGTGGACACTGGGCCCACAGCTGCCCGGTTCCCGTCCTCTGGGGGCTGATACTGTTCAAGATACCACCCGCTCCACACCAGCAGCAAGGGCCCATCATCGGGCCTGTAGCAGCAGCACTGTACCCGGTTCAAACCAGGAAGAAGCCTGACCTCCTCCAACCAGTCTAGAAGGAAAGCCATCCCACGTAATACAAACATGAGCCACTTCTCCGGCACCAAAGGACCGATTCTCTCCAAGCCAATGGTCCCTGCACTGCTCCCAACTTGTATTCCAGGACCCAGGGTCCAGGTAATTGCAGAGTCCCTCGGTTCCTTTAAACAAGAAAACACCTAAGGACTTACATATGCTGATTTCTCCAGATAGGACAGGATTATTATTAAGCTGCTGTCAGAATGTGGTGAGTGCTCCCCCAGATGTACATCAGGGAGGGTTAGAAACACTCCTGGCAGCCTGTCTTGCAGCTTGAGCTTTTTCAAAGTCCTTAATTTCCTGAGGGGTACGCAAATACTGCTCTATTTCACTATCAGATATGTTCTCATCTCCGGTGACTGTGGAGACTGGGGGTGGGGGGCAGATCCGCTTTGGGGGCTTCAACATGCAAGGTGGGAGGAGAGGGGTGGGACTAGCTGGCCGCTTCCCCTCAGGCAAATTTAAGGAACTACTCGCCACCTCCTCTTTTCCCTGCTCTGGCCCCTGGCACCTTCCCCGCAGCTCCTTCTCCCCAGCTTCCATCTCTGCCGTTCCATCGCGAAAGGCCTTGCGGACCAACGTGTGGCGGTGCTGGAGAAGGTCACCGATGTGCTTCACCACAGAGCGCTTGTCGAGCTTCAGAACCTGCAGCCAGGCCAGCCGCTCGGCCATCCGCAGCAGCACGGAGAGCAGCTCCTGCAAGCGGGAGGAAGCGGGGTAGGGCAGGTCCACGTTCGCCAGTTTACAAAAACGGGCCAGGGAACACGTCAGCCGATGCGAAGGCTGCAGCGACTGCCATGCCAGAAAAGTAGCAGCAGTGATGACAGGCAAGGGATGCCGCCCAGTCACCAGCCACGTCTCATCCGCCAGCTCCACCAGCTGCAATGTTCGCGACAGCATCTTCTCTTTGTCTTCCACGTATTTGGCTGGCACAGACGGGGAGGCTTGGAACAGTCTGAAGCTGAAATGACCAAAAGGACAGTCTGGTCTCGATGCCCACAGGGGAGGGGACTGCTCTTCCCAAGTGAAGAAAAGCAGTCCACTCCAGGTGGGCTATTCTGTCCTCTTGGAACAAATACTCAAACTTGCTGGCAGCGGGTTTATACAGGTGCTGAGAGAAGACAGGCTGCGTCTCCCACCCGTGAGGTGAAGGGCAGGAGCATGCAGCGGGGGAAGCTAATGTGTCAGCGACCCCGTCGGCCAGTATTCTCCATGCTTTACACATGCTCTCCTATCATCCACTCTACGCCCCATTATGTGCATTTATAGTTAAAAATCTGGCCCAGAGTCATCCAGCTAGGAAGTAACCAAGCAAACCCAACACAACTTGACACTGGTAGCCTGTGCCTTCTACTCTATTTTCAGAAAAGAAAAGGAAGAAGAGAAGAGAAAATAAAAGAGAAAAGAAGAAAAGGAGGAGAGGGGAGGGGAGAGGAGAGGAGAGGAGAGGAGAGGAGAGGAGAGGAGAGGAGGAGAGGAGAGGAGAGGAGAGAGGAAAAGAACGTGGCTCCTAAAGAAAATAAAATGAAAAAAAAAGCAGTAGCTTCCACCGCCGGCCCAGTCACTAACATCTTGTCACCTCCACTTGCAGATGATCCTGCTGAGGCAGGGCGGTCGCACACAGCCAAGCAGGCCACGCACAACGCGAGAGCCACAACTCAGCGGCCCGGTGACAAGGCTGATACCTGCGCTGCCTACATCAGGCATCAGGATGCAGTAAAGGCAAAGGGATTCGGAAATGCCAAACAGTTTAGAAATGTGAAATGGAATCAGCTTTATCGACAAGTACTAGGAAGAGAGACTACAAGAGCACGAGGGAGGGAGAATATAGATTTTCCTCCCAAATCCCTTTAGATGCACTTTGGTGAAAAAGTGACAGGTAAAAAGATGGAGGGCTAAGGGTCCATCCCGTCCCGGGGGTTCCCGGTAGGCAGGTACCTGCTACAGTACGTCTTCACCAGGTCTGCCAAGCACAGCGAGGGCACATCCAGCCCCAGGAGCTTCACTATCTGCATGTAGGTGCCAGAAAACACATCCAAATCCGCATACAACAGGGCGCAGACGGTTCCCATGGTTAGGGGCCAGTTATGCTGTCGGCAGGTGATCAAGACACAGCACCCAACTAGCACCTCCTTCTTTTGCAGCCTGGCAGCACGGATGCCAGAGTGCCGGTACGCCTGCTGGTAGTAGGCAACTGCTGTGTCCTCAAATGTCGATGGCAACTGCAGGACTCGACAGAGGTCTCTCACTCGGCGGAGACCTAAGAAAGCCCACAGCCAGAGTCAGAGGGGTCAAAGGCACTACTGAGTGGCTCCCAGCAACTTCTGCTACACTTGCCTCCCATACCAGTTGCACAAATGATGTGCTTTTCTACGATGACAGGAGTGACGCTTGGTGAGGTCATTCTAAAGACACAAAGAAATCTGGGGAAAGAAGTCACATTTCAACCCACCGCTCTTCAGGGGCTGGTGTGATTCAGAGCCAAGCCAAAGTGTGATCTGGGATGCTTAAATCAACCTTTAACATACCCCTGACAAACCCACACTGTATACTGAATTGCCGCCTCTCTTAGACCATCTCCATTCTTTATTTCGGACTACCATTCTCTTCTACTCTACCTTACATAGCAATGCTGAAATCAGGAAAAGCAAGAGGATGGGCTGGACCATCAGAAGAATTTTCTTTAAGGCCACTGTCTCATAAAAGGTTGAGTCTCACCTCGTTGCTGGCTGCGGCTAACTTGATCGTTTTCCCCTGTGCTTCGGGAATATGTTACTTCTGTAAGATAAGGGACAACAAATAGCTTTGTTTAGCCTTTATTCACCAGACCCCTGGCCTCCCGCCACACAAAACCAGGGAGAATTCATATCATTAGGCTCTGCTCCCTGTCTCATGAAGGTGCCCATTTTTGCACATTAAAAGTCCATCTGGTTTTCTACGTTCACAAGCAGTATCAAATACAGAGACTGAGGGGTGCCTGGGTGGCTCAGTCGGTTAAGCGGCCGACTTCGGCTCAGGTCATGATCTCACGGTCTGTGAGTTCGAGCCCCGCATCAGGCTCTGTGCTGACAGCTCAGAGCCTGGAGCCTGTTTCAGATTCTGTGTCTCCCTCTCTCTGACCCTCCCCCGTTCATGCTGTCTCAAAAATAAATAAACGTTAAAAAAAATTTTTTTTTTAAATACAGAGACTGAGGAAGGTTAAGACTGCACTAAAGTGGCTTCAAGAGTTCCAAATTTGCAGCCATCTCTCCTGTATATCCAATCCAGGCAATTTTCCTGATTGCTGATTTTGAGGGCTGCACTGGTCAGGGACTCAGAAAGAAAGGAAAAAAAAAAAAAAAAGATGTGTTTGTCAATTAGGGCTAAAGGCTCCTTCGGGCTCATACTTGTCCGCACTTGTAAAGAATTCCATCCGTCCATCACACCCAAACTAGATAAACTGAGTGAAACTCTTGTTTCTCTGTTTCATTTGGTCGACGTTTATGAGACCTAATACATGCCAGATACCGTACCAGGTGCTAGAAAAACGCAGAGGAATGGCCGTCCCTGCCCTCCTGCAGCGCTCCTTCACTTTAGGTCACTTTCTCCCGTAGTTAAGTGTACACGTGACAACGAGAGGGCGTGAGAGGCATAAGAGGAATCTGATGTCAATCCCTCCACCACCCCAGCCTATACCCACGGCCCTGGAAAGGCCGGCACAAATACCTCGGAGGTTGCCCTCGTCGCTGAAGGTGGTAGTAAGGACTCCCTCGGTGACGACGCAGCCACAGTCTGAGCACACCAGCTGGCTCTGCGAATAGTGAGAGTCTTCCACGAGCTCAGTGGAGCCGCAATCGGGGCAGTGGCCTCCGCCCGGCATGTCACAACCCAGAGTCTCCGAAGTTTTCAGATATCTACTCGCACGTCCGGAACAGCAACAGCGCGGAAGCCGGTACTAGGAGGGGAGCCTTCTAAGCGCTGCACCTTTCTCTTCCGGCCAGAGCAAACGCGGTTTACATAGGTAGTTCTGTACGCCAGCGGAGCGCCACTTCCGGTCCTGGTCTCTGCGGGCTCGGGTAGAAACGTGAGCTAGGAGAGAAGGTTCCTGGTGTGGACCGCGTCTTCGCCTTGCCTTCCCCAGGCGTCTGCGGTCGGTTTGAAGTGGGCCAGACCGGGGCGGGGGAGTTAAATTTAGGTGAGATTTCTTCTCACGTGGACACACATAACAGACAAGAAATTGTGGTCATTCCCAAACAAGTCTAACTTCTGAAATGCTGGAGAATCGTAGATTCTCTGTTACTCTTTGGTAACAAATGTTGATTTTGGCCATAGTACAAAGTGTGGTGAGAAAGCAGGAAATTATGTTCTACTCTCCAGAGTGGCTTTCCCAGGCAAGTTGTTTCCTGTCTATGCAGTCTATTTTTCTCAACTATAGAATGAGGGAATTGAATTAAAATCCAGAGTGACAAGGGGCGCCTGGGTGGCTCAGTCGTTTAAGCGTCCAACTTCAGCTCAGGTCGTGATCTCACAATTCATGACTTCAGGCTCCCCTTCGGGCTCTGTGCTGACAGCTCAGAGCCTGGAGCCTGCTTCAGATTCTGTGTCTCCCTCTCTCTCTGCCCTTCCCCCCTCCAAGCGCTTGCGCGCGCTCTCTCTCGCTCGCTCTCTCTCAAAAATAAATAAACATTAAAAAAAAAATTTTT